AAGACTAGCCAGGTTCTCCTTGAGGACATCAGTGAGATCTGGCTCCACCGGTTAGGAGTAGGATTGATGCCCACCTCAACCAGCTTGCTCCTCAGGGCTTCAAAATTTTCCCAGGCTGGCGGCAAGATGTCAGCAGCCGCTCTCTGGAGCTTGGTGTGCTTGAATGGCTTGCCTGTCGAGAGTCCCGGCGGTGGAGTTGGTGACCTAGTCCGGTATAGGTGTTCCACCGTTTGGCGGCTTTGCTCTGAGACTTGATGGCATAGCCTTGGTTTGGTTGCTGCCATGAATTGCCGCATAGTCGACATGTGTAGCCACCCTCGATCCGGTCCTCCCAGATTCAATTGTGGCAACCACGTCTGATATGCTCGACCCCAGTTGCCCAGCATGGTGAGGGATTAAATCTACGCATTCTTGATGAAAAAAGGGCTCCAGTGTTCTGTGCACTTGGTCATAGCCAAAAGGTCGTGAAAGTCGTGACCTGGCCAAAAGAACTTGGTACACTTCTCTATGTGTGCGGGCATCCACACTCCCCCTAGGTGCTCGCACCTATTCGGCGCCGCACTTCGCTCAAAAACGGCCTTCCTTTCAGGCCTCTGCTCAAGCCCTTTCAAACTGTGCGAAAAAGGGTGTAACCCCACCAAGATTCGAGGTGGGTCCCCCTTCTGCCGTTCCTCTCGTCGACCAAAATGGTCTTCCGCTTTCCGATCACGGGCCATGCCACCGTCAGCCTCCATCGCCCCCACTCTTCTTCTAGGAGGACCTTGGCTTCAAAGTCGTAGAGCTTCTTTCGCGGCTGATGGTGAACCCTGATGGCCACCTTTCTTCCACACTCGTAGTCGATCAAGTACTCCCACGAATCCTTGGCCGCTGTTCTCACTGGCGGAGTTGAGATCACCTTGAGGACCGCATCGTTGATGAACCCTCTCTGGAAGCCTGGGGTCCTCAAGTAGTCCCACATCTCTTCTTCATGGCACCATTTCCCCAGCACCACACCCTCATCGACCGTGGTCACCAGCCGAAGGGGTTCCACCCTGGGTAGCGCGCTCCCTCGGTGGCTCTGAGTTCCCGGAGGCAAAGGTCAAACCGAGCTCCGCCCTCCGTGCAGTTTCAGCCTCATAGTCGTAGGCGCCACGATGATTTAGGTCTGGATCGGGTACTCGATGGTGTCCAGCTGGTTCAGGTCGGGCAGGATGGAGTTCCGCTTCCTTGGTGGCTCCTCTGTGCTCGATGTCTGCCCAGGGGTAGCCGTCTGAGTCCCAGTCCTCTCCGACCTCATTCTCATAGCCCTCACTGAAATGCGATCCACATGGGTTCCTGGTTCCCGCCTCCTGGTGGTGGTAGGTTGGGTCGTCCGGTTCCGCCAGCTCATCGTGCGCTGAATAGCCAAAGCCTCGAGATCCTCTGGCTGTGCTAGACAGTTCCTCCACACAGTTGACCTCGAGCTCCCCGCTCAATGACCACCTGGGCTATCCGGTCACCCTTGTAGATCCTCAAGTCCACGTCCGAGTGGTTGCGCAGCAGGACCTTGACCTCCCCCCTGAAGTCTCTGTCGATCACCCCGGCTCCCGTCTCGATGCCTCGGATCGCGAGCGATGACCTTGGGGCGATGCGTCCATAGCTGCCCGGAGGGAGCTCAAGAGCGATCCCCCTCTTCACCAGCACACTATCTCCTGGCTGCACCATGGTCTCAATGGTGGAGTACAGATCCAACCCGGCTGCATGCTCTGATCCCCTCGTCGGTAGGATCGCTTCTGGTGATAGCAGCTTCACCTTCAACTCCTCCTTCGCCTTGAACCATCTCTTCACTCCAGCCGTGCCGAACCTGAAAAGGATGTCCCCGAGGATCGCGATGGCCGCGGTGAGAAGGACCAAATCCACCACTCTCCACTTCCTTCCGGCTGAGTGGTCTCTGAGGCCTCCACCCGCCCAGGTCGACCTTCTTCACTTCGATCTTCTCCTTCTCCTCAATCACTCCAATGCCAAGGGTCTTCTTGAAGTTCTGGAGCGCCTGGCCCGTGAGCTGCTTCGTCATGCCATCCGCGACCAGTTGAGTTCCTGCCACATGCTCCAAAGACACCTCCCTCGATCTCAAGGCTTGAGTCAGGCCTGCTGCTCTGATCCTCAGACGCCTTGTCCTCCAAGATGAGGTAGTCCCTGGCGATGGCAGCAGTGTAACCTCAGTTGGACTCCCTTCCCAAGCACTGCCTGCACCAGAGCTCCTGCTGACCTGGACTTTCCAGCATGGACATGAGCTCTGCCTCCGCTGTTGAGAGTGTCACAAAGGCCTGTCTTGTGGTGTGCCATGCGATCGGAGTGCCTCCAACGCAGACCACGATGCCTGTGAAGCTCTTCAGGTTCGACGAGGCATATGAAGCATCCGAAAACACCTCCACCCGAGACAATTCATTCGTCTCCGATCTTCCCTCCTCGCTCAGGACCTGCTTGCCGATGTCCATCACTGCCTTCGGCTTCTTAGTCGACCATTGGCACGTCAGACTCACGGCCAAGCAGATGTCAGGTCGAGTTCGTCCAGCTACCCACGGAGCTCCCCTGTCTCCTTCTGCGCTCGTGTGACCTCAGCCAGCTGTGGATGTTCTTCCCCTTCTGGGGTCTTGATCTGTCCAAGAGCTGCCCGTCCACGCTCATCATACTCCAGAAGAGGTTCTCCAAGTAGGCTCGTTGGTGAACCACAAAGTCTTCACCCTTCTTTTCGATCTCCATTCCCACCAACCTCACTCGCTCCCCTCCATGGCTGACAGCGTCGGCTTTGGGCCTCGGGCCAGCGCTGCTCGATGATGAAGATACAGCTGACGAAGGAACAGGACCGTGTCATCTTCCACCTGCTTCCGAAGGTAGCGGTCCAGTTGCGGAAGTCCAAACCTGTAAGGCCCCTCTCTCTCCCGCAGTGGAGGCGGTCCTGGCTGCTTGAACGCCATCAGCCAAGTCGAGCAAGTGGGAGAAGATGTCATCGCGCAAGAGGTTCATGCCCTGGTCAATGACCGTGTCAATGCACAGCACCGCTCGACTCTCGGCCTCGCTCCACCGTCTCCGTCAGGTTCTGTGGGCTCTTCGGTTCAACCAGTTGGCGAAGCAACCTCGACCGTTCCGCCAGTCCTCCTGGTTGATACCTCCGGAACAGGGCATAGAGCACCTCGACCGAGCTTGATGCTCGATTCGCCAGAATCTCTGACCTGATGGAGTTTGGGACCGCGTTGAGCAGCATCAGTTGCCCCGTTGCCCCAGCCGGTTCCAGACCGTGGTGCACTCTCTTGGTACCTGTGGCTTGATGTGGAGCCGTTGAACTGGTTCAGCACGAAGCCAATCACGATATGCTGCCATAGCCAGCTGCAGGACTTCCTCCCACCATCTCCATGAGGTCGCACTCAAATCCCTCATATAGTCGGTGAAATGAGCTGAATCCAGTCGCCCAGCACTAGCGATCCCAGCTCTCCTTCACGGAGTTCCTGAAGGACCGGCAGTTCGACCGAGCTGATCACCTCTCCCGAGCTGCCCTCATGGCTTCCAGTTCCCAACTGTCGAAGCACCGACTGAGCTGCTTGCTCTAGAGGCGAGCCCTTTCCAAGATCTCCGTCTCGAACGGCGCAGTCTGGTAGGCCTCCACGTCCAGGTCCAAACCCTCCGAGATGTCCTGGATGCGGTGTTCCCAGATGCCCTTGGATCGTGACCCAAGCATCCAGCCCCATGACTTCCAGCCTGAAGCGCCCCAAGCCACGACTCTGGTACTGGAGGAGGTCCTCGTCCATCTGGATGACAATCTCCCCAACGTCGACTGTCTCCCGGATCTCGTGTCTCTCCTTCCACATTCGTCTTCTCCCCCGGAAACTCCGGGACCGCTGCAAGACGAGATTTCCCTGCTCCACCTTCTCTCTCTGGTGTTCCAGGGGGCGGACCCTTTGGTGGACTTGGCGGTGGAGTTGTCGTTGGTGGTCTGGGGACCTCCACCTTGAAATCCCGAGGCACCTTCTCCCTTCTCCTTGGTGGAGTCGTCGATCTTCTTCTTGAGGTCCGCCAACTCTCGCTTGAGCATCGAATTCTGGTTCATCACTGCCTTCAAAACCTCTCGTAGGTCCACGGCTGCATCCTCTCCTCCTGAAGGTCCTGGGCCAGAAGATGTACCCGTCGATGGTAGTGAAGCCGGCTCGGAGCATCACTTCATCCTTCAAGGTCTGGCTCCAGAAAGGATTGACGTCCAGGGCGACATTCCCAGCCGTGGTGCCACCCGTCCCCTGGCCTTTGCCATCTCGCCTCCGATCATCACGTCGTTGGGGACCATATGTAGTGGGTGGCCCCTCCGCCAGTGCCAGCACCCCTGAATCCTTCATTTCCGGATCCAGCCTCATCTTCAAGCGCCAGGATGCCGGTGTCCTCCTTGGCGCTCTCCATGGACGACCCTCCTTCAGGGGATTCCACCGCTGAGCTTCCGCCAGCCGCGCGTCGCGACATGGCGGCCAACGACCTGGGCCTCCACGTGAGATCTCCAGGGTGGTCTTCCGGGGCTTAGAACGTTGGGCTCATAACCTACGCAAGCTTAACGCTCCATTTTCTTGATGAAAAAAGGGCTCCAGTGTTCTGTGCACTTGATCATAGCCAAAAGGTCGTGAAAGTCGTGACCTGGCCAAAAGAACTTGGTACACTTCTCTATTTGTGCGGGCATCCACAAAATCAACCAGGAGGCCTTCCGCAAAGTCAAAAGCGTGCTCGTGGAAGACACGTAGAGTGTGTGTAGGTTCAATGCCGTGGTGGAACTCAAGCCTCCGGCGAGATGGCGTGATCGACCTGGATGCACTGCCTGGTCTTGGGGCGGCCAGGAAGCTCGAGCAGAAATCTTGAGCCTTGAGCCTGGAATATATATATATATATAGTATATTATACATATAGTCTCTGCCCATGTTCCACACCGGAATGTTTGAGTTCTAATGGAATGCGCATTCTGTTGGATGTCTGTGTCAAGAAGTGAACCTTGGAAACGATTAGGATGCCTCGTGAATTCCCTTGGCGCCAGGTCTAGGGCAGCAAAGGACCAAGCCAAACGTGCTAGGTCCTCCAGAGTTTTGCACATATTTCTTCAGGTCCAAATCGTTTGCCAACCCTTTGAAGCACGGAAAGCTCTTGAAATCTGAACAAACAATGATTTTCTGCCTCATACAATGAAGTTGCAAACTGCAGTCAAAAGTGTTGTTTTCTCTTCCCTCGTATGCCTATGCAGAAGCATAATGTGAAAAGTCGAAACAACACATAGCTTCCATTCCGGTGAAGGAAACAATCACAGGCTAGCGGCTAGTACAATGGGTATATAACCGAATCACCCTTGCGCTCCTCCTCGTCAAACTCACTTATTTTTGCAGCTGCCTCCCAAGTTGCAAAACAATGCGCCAAGCGACTATGAAGGTTATCTACTTTGTGTTCATGGCAACTTTGTGCTTTATGTTCATTGCCTGTGAATGCTTCACCTTCTGGACAAAATTGGGTGGATCTGCAAGCAAGTCTATTTCTCCACAAAGTGCAAAAGCAATCTGATGCTTTCGAAAGGCTTTGCTCTGTCTACAGTCTGGGATATCGTCCACTGCAACACCGTATTCACTGCTTCTCAGAAGCTGGTGAGTGGCAAACCTCATCACTTTGGGCTATCAGGTCTTTCTTTGAGATGCCCGTCCTATGCTGCAATGAAGCTGAATGTTGAAGCTGGTGCAAGAAGCTCCGCAGATCTCCGAAAGCTTGTGGCTCTTCAAGTGCTCCAGTTCACAAATGGGATCTCGATCAAATCACCTCAAGGAGGTCGTTGATGTTCTCATCGGAAGTCAACAAGGTACCATCCCTCAAAACAAGCTGTAGCCTCTTGGGAGGCAATTGGAGCCCTCAGTTTGGCCAGCGTCCCAAGCGCAGACAGTAGGCACAGCCCTACATCCACACTGCATGCGATCGAAATCAGAAAACATATTCAAGCGGGCTTGTAGTGTCTTTTAATGTTGCGTTTGGATGTGCAACGGATGCACAAGGTACAATTATGATAGCTCTGTTTGTTGTCCTATACTTCCCAAGGCACGCCGAGAGAGCTCTCTTCGCAAGAGACCCAAAGCTGCGGGTTGCAACGGGAGCTGGGCTCCAGAAGCACAGCAAGCCGTGAGGATCCCATCCTGCTAAAATGCAAAGGCCATCGCTACTAGTAGCAAGAAGCTAGTAGGTTGGAGGCCATCGCTATTAGAAACAAATGAAGGAGAAAAGGAAGAAGGCCTTTGAAAAAAATCGCGAGGTCAACCTTCCAAGGAAGCAAGCTTATCGGGAAATGTTTTGCACAAAACAATTAAATTCTGGCTAGATCCTTGAAACCGTTAAGGCAAAAGAGTGGCGCGGGTTGGGAGCAATAAACCGCCCTGGCCCTTGGCACCTCTGCCAGGAGCGTCACTACCATGACAGGCCAGGGATCGGCAGGTGGAACACATCGGACTGATGAATCCAATTCCGGCGGTGAGCATTGGCCACACTGGACAGGGAGTTCCAGACAATCTCTGAGCAGATTCTTTGAACTACGAATTGTAATACAATACTGGGAACCTATATAATTATACAATAGCAATGGGAACCTAGTTGTAACGGCCTCCAACCTACTAGCGCCTCCAACCTAATAGCGATGGCCTCCAACGTATTCCTTCAAATCGCCGAAAAAGAACACAGTGTTGAAAGTTGTGCTTCGCAGCCGAAATTTCAAGCTTGGTGATGTGCCATTAGAACTGAAGGCAAAGCCGACCAGGCAACAAGAAACCATCTCTCCTCTATATAGGCTGTCTTGATCATACTCGATCTTAATCTGGACATGAAACGCAGTCTGCTCATTCTCACCTGTAGGACTTCCCTACTCGAGTGGAGCTTAGACATTGTGCTTGGCCAAAGTGTTATTGTCCGAGTTGGGAGTAGACCCTGGGCTGCAGTTTGTGATCATAAATTGTGTTGACGCAGTGAAACGAGGCAAAATCGATCACCCCGGGCCCTGTTGTCACCAAAGAGCACAGGAATCCCATCGCTTCGCAGCAGCCTCAGCGCTTACCAAGTGCAGGCGTTGGCCGTACTACAAGGGAAGAAAAGCATAAAAAATATCCACTGTTTGTTGAAGAGGAGATACCCTCCGTGCGGGCAGTGACCAGAAAAAATAGAGCTATGACAATAATTTTCTTCTAGAATCGGATCATATACTGGGAGACAACTTCCCTCTGGAACAAGACAGTCCGCTGGCAAGACACAACCCAGCTCAGCCTAAGGGGCTTTTGTAGGAGAGCTACCAAAATGTCAAAAGGCGCGTTAAGTTCCCCCACACATCTAGGAACCAAGAGAATAATAGTGCCTGCGTCCGATGATATGTAGTAACTTCTTAAGCTTGGTAGTTCACCCTTACTTGTAAGCTGCTTGTAAGCTACTAGCTACGACCTCCCCCCCCCAGCTAAAGGGAGGTAACTAAAAAGAGACGAAAGGGAAACTAAGGGATGTCACTCCAACGGCCCTAACCTTCGATGTGGTGTGTCTATTTGTTGCCAAAGTGGCCAAAACTGCTGAAGGTTACAAAAGAGAGCCAAACGCCAGGAATGCTCCGATGTTGCAGGGCAAAAAAGTGCTGAATTCCACACTTACTTCGTACTTACTTCATCTATCATTCTTGGGGGGGTAGGCCGCTAGGAGGTACCTAGTAGGCTAGTAGTAGCTAGGTAGCTAGTACCTGCAAGAAGCTACTACATATGGACGCAGGATAGCTCACGCTAATGATTTGGTTGCTAGATTTATAGGGAAACTCAGATTTCTGTGTGCTTTCCGTCTTTTGAATTTTGTCCATTGCTTGGCTCCCTATTCCGCAGTTTGTTTGTTCATTCTCCCGTTCAGTTCTTTGTTGGATGGTTGATTCGGTCGCTCCTTCATTGATTCTTTTGCTCGCTCGCTCGCTCGGTCAGCCGGGCCTTCCTTCGTTCCTCTTTCCTTCCTTGTTTTCTCTTCCTCTCGTACGTCTTCTACGTTTGGGCCTTCCTTCGTGCCGGTTCGTTCAATACAAAAAACATATATACAGTATATACATGTTGTTCGTTGCACCCCTCAAAGAAAGCAACACTGAACGAGCGATTGAAAATGTTCGAGGCATCCCTAATAAAACAAACTGGGGTGAAATTGTGACACTGCGAGCTAGGTCAGCGATGGTGAAAGAAGTGAAGAATGCTCTTCTCCTCCAATCACAGCTACTCAGACAAGGCGAAAGGGAGAGGAGATTGTGAGTGCCTGGGGTTAGGGTGCAAGACCCTGGATGCCCTTGATTAAGAATGGAAATGATGCTGCGACACCTTGCGATACGGTATCAACATGTATCAACAATTTGTTGAACAAGCAGCAGTGTATGAGCACCTCCAGCTGCTACTCCCACATAGGAGAGCCCATCTGCCAAGGGTGGCACATTGCACCTTTGCGGTTTCAAGGGAAACCTGATACCCGATGAACAAAGCTGACACTGAGCACTACAGATCATTCAAACTACAAGTACTGATCGGTCAACAGTTGCACAGCATGCCAACCGAATAGATGTTTGCCGCTCAAAATGCTGACCATGAAACTGCCCTCGGCCATTGCCACCAAAAGCAAACACTTCACCATCGTCACGTAAGAGCACTGTGTGAGTCCAGGAAGCCGCACATGCAATGTATCGCAGGCCCGAATCCTGCAAATGCACAAAGGGATGTAAAACTTCAAGACTAAGAAAAGCAAAGGTAGGAAAACGTTCAGCAGAGTAAGACTGCTAGCAGACAAGAAAAAGGAGTTGTTCCAGTATCAGTGCATCTTGTTCCATCTCTACATGCCAAAAACTTGTCCGCAAACGCCTGTGGTAGGTCTGGCAAGTCACACTGGCCAGCGCCGTTGTGACCAAATGCCAGAGCCACACCATCTGATCGGATGAGAACTGTGTGGCTTCCACCTCTCACCAGGGCTGTGTGTAGAAAGCATTTTTGCTCTCGTACCGTGTCCACACGCTCATCGGTGCTGTCCACACGCTCATCGGTACTCAATCCCCAAAATATTGGAGAAAAGCCGGGAATGCGATTGCCTTTTCAACACAGCCCTGCCTGCAGCAGCATCGACATACTGAAGCCCATCAGGGAGCTCTGGCACTCTGCATTCGCCTAACAATCTAGGAACCACATGAATAGTGCGAGCACTTCTTCATCCAATTACTTGTAGCTTTTGGCGCCTTACTGAATTAAGTTGTCCCCTATTTAGTTCAGTAAGGAGGCAGGGCCAAGGCCTCAACAAAAAAGGACCAAAACAGCTTGATCTCCTTTCGCCTGCTTGGCCGTGCCCCCAAGCTATGGCTTGTCCGTCGTCTCGAAGTAGCACAGCATGTGTGCGGCTAGCCGAAACGGATACATAGCCTCAATGTGTAAGCAAGCATTTAGAAGTAGGAACAAGGAAGCTACTAGGGCATAAGGACGCTACTAGGGGCTCCTGGCCTTACTACTAGGAACAAGAAGCTACCAGTAGCTAGAAGCTTCCTTGGGAAGAAATTCAATTGAGTCCCTGGGAGTGAATGTGCCTCTCAAGCTGTGCAAGAGACGTTCTCCGGGTGGCAGCGCAGGTATCCTGCACTGCCCAGCCGTATCATCTCCAAAGGCAAATGCCGCACCATCCTCCCTGCACAATGCTGCGGGAGCGAACTGGACAGACTCCATGCCATGTTTTTGCAGGCCCTGTGGTGAACTCGTGCAAGGTCCAAAGAATACAACAGAATTTGGGTGCCTGCCTGATAACGATCGAGAAACAGTACCCTGCAGCAGCTTGCACATATCTCAGACCGTCGGGCAAATCGGGAACCTGCCAGCAAAAGATTGCACATACAAATATTATATATATATAGATATACATACATACACGTATAATATACAAATATAAATACATGAGCTGGTTGAGTAGCGGTGTGGCCGTCTCATGTTCCGCTTGCCAGCCTCACACTGACCTTCACTGCGACCGCCGCAGGCCACCTAAAGGTGACATGACATGCACTGAACAAGTGCTAGATAAGCACAAACAATGTGGAAGTCCAGTGCACAGAACAAAATCAGTCAGACCACACGACAACTAAGACCAACTAAGACTTCATCGATCAATCATCAATCAATCTCACAGCTCCGAAAGCTCTCATTCTTGGGTTGGGACTCGTTTCAGGAGGGTTCATTTGTTGCCAAACATATTGGACCAAGGAACTATGTACCCGTCGTCTTGCAGCAAGAGTGTGTGATTGATACCAGCAGATGCAGAAATGTAGCACCTGAAGAAAAACATCGTGAGTGAAACATCTGAACTTTACCTAGTAGCTTATTGCTCCTAGTAGTACGGCCAGGAGACCCTAGTAGCGTCCTTGCTCCTAGTAGCGATGCCAGGAGCCGCTAGTAGCGTCCTTGCTCCTAGTAGCGTGAGTGAAACATCTGAACTTCGCTTCAACTCGGCTTCACTCGCTGTCCAGCCCTCCTTCCGTCAGGCAGCTCCGGAAGCTCCTGAGCGATGAAGAGCTCGCAATGTGTTGTCCTAAGTAATCTTCGTACTTGATATAGTAAGAGAGGTAAGAGTCGGTAAGAACAGGTAAGAGTAGGTAAAGGTCTTCTGTAAGAGTTCTTTTGTTAGAGCTTCAGTACAAACCCTCATGGCACTTCATAGCTCATTCCGAGGTACACATTGCCCCATGTCATTTTTGCCGAAGGCCACAGCTTCACCATCACAGCAAAGAAGCACGGTATGCTGCAGGCCAGCAGCCATGGCGCTTCTGAATCCAAGGCATCACTTGTGCAAAAGTAACATACATTTACAGCATATATTTCACCTTGTTGAAGGCAAACAAAAAAAATAACAAAAGAGCTAACAGAGCATGGCAATGTCATGTCTTAATGGACTCAGAAGGACATCGCTAGAATGCATGTGATGAAGGAAAGCTGAGTCTGTTCGGCTACTTGGAAGTTGCCAAGTGGTGTGACTGGTGTCTAAATCAAACACCACATGCCACATGCCATTGTTGCTAAACCCATCATTTTGACCCAATCATGATGATGTCCACAAGGAATAAAACATGACTTCAACATGATACAATGGTAAATATGAGGATCAAGCTGCACACTTCTTGGAAAACAACATGTGAGAAGTTGCACTTCCAGAAGATGTGCTTGCCCTTTCCGCTTTCCGCATGGTGAGCTGCTAACAATCACACCTTCCATGCAGCTTCAAATACTCCTGCGCTCCGCGCTCCTGCCTGTGAGGCAATACTTTGCATCAGCCTTCCATGTCGAAGACCTGCTTCAAAAATTAAAATGTGGAGCACAGGGCGCAAGAGATCCCATTTTGTTCTGAGCTCTGGGCGGAGTGAAGCAAAGGACCAAGCAACCTAAAAGCTGATCAATGCGACACTAGCGTATCGCGGTGGACTTGGTGGCGGTGGATGCATTCGTGCCGGCACCAATTTTGCTTTCGGGAACATGATGGAAGATCTGAAAACTCCCTTTCTGTATAGGATCAATCCAGTGACCAACGCATACACAGTCAAACCAAGTCACTAAGCACCCAGACCCCCGCCAGCTCTGCCAGAGACAAATGTTCCAGCTGCATGAGCATCTGAGAAGCCAAAGGCGCCAAAGGCCATCACAGCGTGTCCAGAAGTATGAAAACACGCTTTAGCGTATGAAAACACCACATCGAACAGTCCTGATTCGCAATGGAAGTCATCACTTTATGCTCCGGGCTTGCAAGCCTGAATCAGCAACCGGCCAATGGACAAATCAAGAATGATCGGTGCAGGAAGAAACCGAGGGTTGTGGCAAAGCTTGCGAGGCACATCAATGCTTCCAATAAATTTTCACACGGAACAACACATAGAGGAAAGCAAGGACACCAGCCCTCTGTGATGGAGGCTAAATCAATCGCTTCAGCCGAGTATCACTGCCAAGAACCACGCTGCCTGCACCAGGCCTGAAGGCCATGGCGGCCAGGGTCTTAGCTAGTGCAGCCAGTGTTCAGGCTTAGCGAGAACAACCACCACAAGCTCAGCAAAGTGAAACTTTAAGCAGGGCTTAAACAGCAGCTGTGCATGTAATCCTCGATAGTTTAAACCGGCTGAGCCTCGCAAAGGCAGCTGCTGCAAAGACCAGTCTATTGCACTTGCTACTGCCTCCAGGAAGGGTCTGTGCCTGCAACACACAAATGGACTTTGACAACTTGAACATTAGGCTAGAAAGAATGGCTTCCGGCCAATTCTATATAGATCAATGATCTATGTTTCATTTGGAAAGACGTGTACATCATTTTGTACTATATCTCAAACTGTCCAGCCAATGCCTTAAGCCAAGGGATCCAAAGCCGCAAAGCAACTGCACGCAGCACGGCACCAGGTGGGTGTGAGTGTGTCAAGTCCCAACATCGGTGTCATCCTGCTTAGAATTAGAACATCTCCAACAGGAAGGTGACAGCTAGGCTTCACTTCAATGTGTTCAACCTGAACGTTCTGGGTGTGAATCCAAGGGTGATACGCAAACACATATGTAAGCAGTGCATGAAACATCAAAGCTTTGTTTCCACACTAAGTTATATACGACCCTCTGTGGCTGCTTTGCAAATAAATGACAAAGCAACGACTGCCAGCCACTTGCCTTGATGAGATCATTAGCTCCAAATTGCCAGATGCGGCGAAGTGATTCCTCCGCAATGGCCTGCTATATGTGGAGCAAAAAAGCACCTGTAGTTTCATGGATTTGAACATGACATGAACATTGTGAACATGAAAATGATGGGTGGCTTTGACCATGGAGTTTGAGGCAGAAAAGCCCTGTAAGATTGACAATAGGCCATGGTTCTTCAAACTCTCCTACAAACGCATTCATCCTAGGATAAAACCACCATGCTGTTTTGGTCCCCTGCTCAAAACAGTCAATGTAGGGCACGCTATGGCGAGAAGCCAGCTGGGACAAAGTCAAAACACCTCTGCTGGCAAACACAGGTGACCCCATAGGTCTGTTTTCAAGTGGTACATCACTTGCAAAGGATTTGCATGAGTCTTCCGGGTCTTTCCAAGGTCACCTCCATTGTTGGCACACTGCGCAGGCCCAGCGTACCTGACAAAGAAACTTTGCATCGACAAACCACTTTCGACAGAAACCCATGCTCATTTATAGACAATTGCATCCAGAACAAAGACCACCTAAGAGATTTGAAGAGGCTGTCAGAACAACTCAGAACACATGCGTAGCATTGCGTAGCTGCACATCTGTGAGACAGTTGGTTCTCCACGGCGGCGAAAGGACGGGTATATAAGCCAAAACATTTTTGAGAATTGGGACTCTTTCAGTTGATTTCATCTGGTGGAACTCCGACATCAAAGGCTTGGAGTCGAGGCTGTGATGTTCCGCACGGCCGCTTCGTGATGCGCTACTTCGTGAGACGCTTTAGTCACATGAAGGACTTCTCACTCACGTGAAATAAAGCTATATATACTTCGACAAAGCTAAGGCACAGCAACATTGGTTTCACTTAGCTTAGGGCTCACTGGTTCAGGAGGGTGGAACTTAAATGCACATGCCCTGCAGTATAACCACGTTCTATGAAGATGTAGAAGTGGCTCACGAGGTCCACAACACAAGTCGAACGCAAGCAGCGAACGAACGGAGCGCGACGCGCGCACGAAAGCCGCGGGGCAGCCACACCGCAGGTGATTTGGCAAGCTTGAGCCCACCCAGTCTCGGATGGACAGGTTTCGTTTCTAGTGAACCTTAGTGCACAGCGTGCACTTCACATGGGCCGTTCTTGGCCAAAAGCAAAACGCGTGGCGTCCTGCAGCCACATATCGACATCATGTCGAATGCACCAGCCCGCTGGGTAGTGGCGGGATCTGGTGCTCTGTGCAGAAACTGCAGCCGCGTACGGCCTGAACATTGGCCGGCACTGCCTGTTCTAAAATGTGGCAGCCAAAATGGTGCCAGCATCGTCCCTTTCGGACTACAAACAATTCTTTTCCACATGGACACTTTCGGGCATGGTCTTCCATCTCAGTGACCAATGCCTTCAGCAACTGATCCCCATCTTCGACTAGGGATCTCAGCTCATTGGCCTCAGTCAGGAGGTCCAGAGCTTTCCTCGCTTCGCGAGCTGCTGCAGAGTATTCATTGGCCTTCCGGGTTTCCTCTTTGGCGATCTCGCACCATCGTTGCAAAACAATTGGATCATCTTTCTGTACACTGGCATCTACGGCGGTGCTTTCAGGCTTCTCACTCGAACTCGGACTCTTTGAAGCGCGGCCACAAAGAAAAACTAAACACATCATCAGTCCGAGGTGCAGCATCATGAACAAGCTCAACCACATGTCACCTGAACTGTCATCATTTCCAGGGGTGTCGGTTTCAACTTTCAAGCAGGTGTCGGACTCGGCCTTTCCAGCTGCAAGCGTTGAAAAACTCACAAGCCCAAGGAACAGGTTCTTCAGGCAGCTCATACTGACATAGTCCTGGTGAGGCGGCGCGACATGGCGTTTGGCGTCCACATACTCAAGAGCGCCGGCATACTGGACAAAGCTGACAAATTCAATGTGGTCATTCTTGTCAACCTGCCACTCCTCATTCGTTGAAGCCTCATTGACCTGTGGAGTGGTGTCATACTCAGTGGTGTGCTCAGTCTGAGGGTCGTCATTGAGGCCTGGGGGCGCTCATCTTCCTTGAAGTCCTCGGTGCACTGAGGAAGAGGAGGAAGTGCAGTGGATTCTGCTAGAGCAGCGGCCTTCTCGGCCTTGGTTTTCTTCTTGTGCGCCACATAGTGTGGATCCCAGGTCATCTTCAGTCTTCCATGGCGAAGCCTCGAAGCCAAGAGTCCTCTTGCAGACTCCTTCGTCAAGCCATCGGCCACCTGCCTTTCAGAGCTCATCCATCGAAGGGAGCCAGACAGCTCCTCCAGGCGCTCCTTCATCACCCTGATCTCCAAACAGACGCGCTTGTCAACCACCGACGAACTGATTCCCTCCCTGTGGTAGGAATCACAGAGAGCTTTGGCATCGGTGATGAGAACTGGCTTGAGCGAAGATGGGATCTCGAGCAGATCCTTCAACCTGGTGTTGGGTTGCATCAAGTGGCGCCAGGTGAAATCAACTGCATCCGCTGCCTGGCCTCCGGCCTGTGCCTCTGCTCCCAAGCTGCTGCGAGCAACACGAGGTGTGCGGAAGCTTCTCCAATCCAAAACATGATACTCGCCCTCCTCAGCTGAGGAAAGCAAGGTCTTGTTGACCAGCCCAGCAAGGTGATGTAGCCACCTTGAGAGCTTCCGTCAGTCCTGGCAGTGAAGCCAGCGTCGAAGAAGCACACCAGCTGGTCATCAGGATGACATAGGCGGTTGTAGTGCAAGCTCACATCCTTGTTTTTTCCTTAGCGAATTTCAGGAGCCTGTTGCACTCGTGGAGAGTCTGCACTGTAGCCTTGGTGATTTGGCCAGCGGGCGTAGGGGTGGACCACTGTAGATGCGGTGAAGTCTGAACACCTGGCCACGGACTTGGGTGATCTCCTTGTCCAGGAGGTAGTCGGACATTGGACGTCCCTTGGAGAAGCTGATGGGCTTGATCTTGCCCATATACGGCTCTTGATGAAGTCGTCGGCCTCCAGCTTCTGTCTTCTCAAGTTGACATCCACAGTATTCCAGGGTCGGTTCCTCTTCTTTCCACTCCCTGAACGAGAAGTTCTCCCGCAACAGGTCAGTGACGGCCTTATAGCGAGGTGAACGGGGACAGCCAGCTCCAAGCATATCATCGACATGCATGATGACCATGCCACGCAAACGCTCAGGGCCAAGGGAACTCACCTCCTCATAGATGGGATCCTCCGCCTTGTAGTCCGGGAGTCGGACTCATAGATGAGGAAGGCACAAGGATCGAGCGGGTGTTGACGTAGTCCTGCTCGAAGACGGCGGTCGACTGCCTCCAAGTACCAGCCTCTGGGGGCATCAATCGGTTTCAAGAGGAGCATCCTGGTGTCCTGGTCAGCCCCTAGCAACTGGAGAGCCTCGTTGGGCAGCTTCACCCACAACTTGCGATCCTGACATCGGCCCTGTAGGAAGGCTGTCGAAACGTCAGCCGTCCACATGTTCCAATTCAAGTTAGCTGCAAGTGACAGGACAATGCTTCTTGAAAAGCGGGTTGTGGTAGGACTGGATGTAGGGATCTGTCCAGCCAATGCGTTGTACCCTCGGACGATGAGTCGGGCCTTCGCCCTTGGGCTTCCATCAGGATGCTTGGACCATTTGAGGATGATCCGTGAGGTCAAGGTGCGGGCCTCGTCAGCCTCGGACTTGGTCTGGAAGGTCCAGACCCCATGATCAAAGAAACTCTTCAACTCTTTGACCTTTGCCTCCTTGAACATGGCACGTTCACGAGGACCGAGATGGCGTGACGTCGTTCTTGGCCGTCTTCATCTTCTTCACTCGGGCCAACTTCTGACTTTTGGCTTCTTGTTTGGCCGAGGTGAAGGCTTCATGATGGCCTCCATACATAGCCATCTCCTTTCTCAGAGCGCCGTTGATCTGGAAGACAGTGACGCCGGTCCAAGAGGATTTCAGATCTTTTGGAGGTTGTGTGTCCGTGCCATCATCAGTCATCAGCCGGCCCTTGCCTCCTCCTTGTTGGTGAATCAGGGTGACTTTCACTCGATCCAGTTGGGCCACTGGTGCCGGACAGTCTTTGGGCAGGTTGTCGATGTTCATCTTGCCTCGTCTTGGCACTAGGTGGTGCCGAATCAGACAACCAGCTCTGACCTCCCAGTAGTCCATTGGGCGGTCGTTGATGTAGCCCTCATCGTCAACATGCCATCCAGCTGGTAGCAGCTTCGGGTCTTAAGGTCTTCGACTTGGAAGGCTTGCCCTGGAAGCTGCTCGCCGGTGATCGGCGTGGCGGTCTGGGTTGCTGATGCTTCTGCTGCTGCCGCTGCTTGTGGTGCATGTTCATGTTCTAGAGCCGGATGGCGTGTACGCCATGGTGCAAAGCTCAACGTTTCCTGCTGGTTAAAGCGCAACCGACGTTGTTGGAATGTCTCAAGTTCTGCCGTTTCATATAAGGCAGCTGTTTGTGGATCCAGTTCAGGCTTGGCCGTTGCTGCATGTGGTGTTGGTTGGCCTGAGGGAATCGGTGGTTCCTCACTGGGTTCCTGGCTGATCTGTGACAGACTGCCTGGTGACATGGGCACTGGTGGCAGTTGAGCCGCAGGAATCTCGGGTGTTGGCAATGCCTGAGGATCTGTGTCAGGTTGTGGATCTTGAGGTGCAGCCTGTGGAGGTTCACCAATGTCCGGTACATCCGGCATGCTGAGAGCCGACCTGGGTCGCTGACGCGGCGGTGCCATTTCATGGTCGGAGGCAGATTCAAGAGCGTCAGCTTCACCATGTTCGTCATCCTCAACGTCAGCCAAGTTCTGGCGATTAGTTTGGTTCAGGTCGTAGTACCGAGTCACCCCACGAGATTTCAGCTGGCGAACTGTGTTCAAAGCACTTTGGGTGTCGTCCAGGGCGTGACCCAAGCTCTTGACATCGGCCCTGACATGGTGCGGCGCGCACCTGATCAGCTGGGTCTTGAAGGCCAGGCTGGGTCTTGAAGGCCAGCCAGTAGACATTCACCTGGGGGGTTCTCGGCCTCATCCTTCTTGTACTCCTTCATGACGACCTGTGCAGGCCAGAGCCAGCGGATCTTGACAAGATCAGGTTGCTTGGCATCGCGCCAGAACCAAATCTTCTGGCCGAGGCTGTTCGCAATCTGGGCCACCCCGGGCCAGAGGCCTTGGCAGAACTCCTGGCCGCACGTGGCGCTTCTGAGTCCGTGATCAATGCCGCGAAGGGCTATGTTTGCACTGCATGCGCCAAGTACAAGCGCCCAGCACAAGCAGCACCTGCTGCAATGCCTAAGGCCAAGGACTTCAATGCACTGGTCCAAGCCGATGTCTTTTGGCTGCGACGTGGAAGCACCAAGTTTCCCATCTTGAGCCTGGTTGACTCTGCCACTCGACACACGGCCGCCATCCTGTTGAAGAATGAACAATCCGAGCACTACATTCGTGCAGTTGAGAAGGCATGGATTGCAGTGTTTGGCCCACCG